TTCAATGGATATGAATACTACACTGAAGACAAGATATTTATAAGCCCTTTTACTATCACTACGATACGATTATATTATAGATAAGGACACTTCCCGGATAAGGAAACACACGAACATTTCCCTTTCTGTATCGGCCTTAATCCGAAATATCTTCACAGACCTTGCTCTATATCCACTGCCAGTCAGTTCGGATATACAACGACAGGCCCTCCAGACACAGAGAGGACGAAGCGCACCCGGAGAACAGTGACAAACGCAATTATGTAATGGTGGACCGGGAACACGTCAATGACATATTGTTCCTTGCCCTTTTGAAGTGAAAGGGATGACGGACCTAGTGTATAAAACCTTCTGAAGTGACTAGGGTCGTTACTTAAGGGGAGTGCGCTGAAATCGATGCAGATTTCAGCGGAAGAGGAAAGGGGAAGATAGAGAGATAGGAGGGTTTGATTTTCTTCTTTTTCATCATAGGTGTATTGTGAAAGGGATAGGTCGATTCGATGAGGAGGGATGGTTAATGTAAAGTTTAATAGATTTATGTTATTTGGTGATGAATTATTATCCACTTTCTTTTTGTCCTTTTTCTTAATCAGCTTAATATGTTTAAGCTCTGACGAAGGTTTTAACATGAACTTATTTGCTTTGTCATGTTCGGCATTTTTTTGAGAAGTACGAAAAGATTTTGAGACTATCTGGTTCTGAGAAAATTGCAAAGCCTTCAACATTACACGAGCGAATGGCCTGGAGTGCAGTGTGTTCAGAAAGTCAATAATGATAATTAATTACTTGTAAATAAAATCACAGGACCTGAATATATTAGAATAATGGCTATTAAATATAGCGAATTGTGGACAATGGTGCTGTACTGGCAAAATAATTATTATTCAATGGCTCTCAGGAAATCGTTTTTGTTTTGTCGACAATATAGTTTAGGAAAAAAGTAATAATTTGTGAAGAATATTATTCAAATGACCCTGAAGAGTCCTTTGAAGATAGGGTAAACCATTTAACTTTATGGGCTATAAATGCACTTTTATGGGAGCAAACAGGAAACATTAATTTCAGGAAAACGTACTTCACAGTAAATGTAGTAATATGTTTGTGTGTTTAAGTGTTTAGGCATGTTTAGGTGTGAATGTGTGTGTGTATGTGCGTTTGTGTATGTGTGCGTCTTTGTGTATGTGTGTGTGTGTGTGTGTGTGTGTGTGTGTGTGTGTGTGTGTGTGTGTGTGTGTGTGTGTGTGTGTGTGTGTGCCTAACGCGTTCATAGCTCATATATATCTCTTTTTTCTTTCTAACATTATAATGATCACCTTTGTGAAATGTAAAACAAAGACCTTCAACTCATAATAAAAGATTGATATGCAATATATTAATTTCAACTTCCACGAAAGAAAAATAAGACGCAGGCGTGTTTAATTAGTACAATTTCTTAAAGCTTTTCATTCCCGTTGGCAATTTTATAAGGTGGCCCCTGAAATGGGTTCTAAGAGACAAATAATCACAGAGGGTCTCTCTCTCTCTCTCTCTCTCTCTCTCTCTCTCTCTCTCTCTCTCTCTCTCTCTCTCTCTCTCTCTCTCTCTCTCTCTCTCTCTCTCTCTCTCTCTCGTTCTCTCTCTCTCTCTCTCTCTCTCTCTCTCTCTCTCGTCTCTCTCTCTCTCTCTCTCTCTCTCTCTCTCTCTCTCTCTCTCTCTCTCTCTCTCTCTCTCTCTCTCTCTCTCTCTCTCTCTCTCTCTCTCGTTCTCTCTCTCTCTCTCTCTCTCTCTCTCTCTCTCTCTCTCTCTCTCTCTCTCTCTCTCTCTCTCTCTCTCTCTCTCTCTCTCTCTCTCTCTCTCTTTATCTATCTATATCTATATATCTATCTGTCTGTCTCTCCCTCTGACTCTCCCCCCTCTCACAGTGTTTTATCTCTTTCATAATCTCTCCCCTTCGTTCTCTGTTTGTCTTTCTGTCTGTTTGTATCTGTCTCTCCCTCCCACCATCTCTCTCTCTCTCTCTGTCTCTCTGTCTCTCTCTCTTTCTCTACGCTTTTCTTTCCGGCATAATAATAATAATTCTTCTATGACTGCAACTTCTTATAGTAATATTATCGATAATAATAATCATTATCACTGGTATCATTATTATTACTATTTTCTAAATTGTTGTTGTCATCATTACCATCATTATAAATATTATTATAATTATTATTATTATTTATATTTTTGGTATTATTACTGTTATTATTATTATTATTATTATTATTATTATTATTATTATTATTACTATTATTATTATTATCATTATTATTATTATTATTATCGTCATTATTATTATTATCATTATTATTATCATTATTATTATTATTATTATTATTATTATTATTATTATTATTATCATTATTATTGTCATTATTATTGTTAATATAATTATTATTATTGCCATTATTTATGTTATTATTATAATTATTATTACTGTTGTTATTATAATCATCCCCATCACTATCATTATCATCATTGTATTTATTATTATTATCATTTTATCAAATATTATTATTATTATTCATTATCTTTATTATTATCCCTATCATTTTTGTTATCATTATCATCATTATCAATATTATCATACTATGATTATTGGTAGTAGTATCATTACTATTATTATTGTCATTGTCAATATTATTACTATTACTTTATCATTATCACTGCAATGATAATAATATCATTATGATTATCATTATTATCAAGAAGAGAGAGTAAGCGGAGAAATGAAGAACAGAGAAAGAGATAAAAAGGAAAAATGATAACAGTACTTCACACGATGAACCGCATTCATGTTGAAAAATGTAGAAAAGGTATGAATGAGAATGAATATCAAGACACAATACAAGATATGTTTTTGATCGGTTTTGAATACATCTTCATCAAAAATACATCTCATGTATTCGAAACTGGTAAAATATCTCTCTTGTATTGTGAAGATATTCATCCTCATTCCTACCTTTTGTATAGATAGACAGAGATAGATAAAAAAATAAGATTATTACTCTACTTATATTTGTACATAAAAGATATTCGTATTCATCATCTGTCTGTCTATCTGTCTATGTATTTATCTATCGGCACACCTATATCTATTCTAATCTATACGTACATAATTCATCAGAATATCTAACTGATTAATTTAAGAAATATATTTATTCTCCATTTATCTATTTGTCTGTGTCTATATCTGCAAACCTATCTATCTACTCGCATATATACATATATAATTCATCTGAATAACGAAATTATTCATTCAAGAAATATATTTATTCATCACCTGTTTGTCTATATATCTATCTATTTACACACCTATCTATCTATGCTAATCTATACATATATAATTCCTCTCAATAACTGACTTATTTCTTTATCTATCGTATAATCACGCAAAGGCAATGAAACGATGTGTTATACTCATGTGTCATGAAACTGAAAATCGTTGTGACATTTCACTGTTTCATAAAATATCACGCGATCAGATTGAGTCGATCAACAGTAAATATTATTGTTATATAAAGAGATGTTGTTCTTACTTGGAATCATATAACAGAACAGAACAATAACGGACGTGGTAGAACAATATATTATAGAACAGGTCGTGTAGAAGGATAAACCAGAAGAGAACATGTAGGAGAAAAGGACGTCAGTTTTTTTTTACAGAACGTGTAGAGGGATAGAACAGAACAGAACACAAAAAAAAACAGAACAGAATAAAACATGAAGGAAAACAGAACAGACAATGCAGGAGAGTACAACTAAAACAGAACAGAACAGAACAACATGGAAAACACACACAAAAAAAAACAACAACAGAACAGAGCATGCAGGAGAACACAACAAAAACAGAACAGGATGTGCAGCACAAATCGTCATTTAACAGAACATGTAGTAGAATCGAGCATCACATATCTGAACATCACATCACTAATAGTATATTCCCTTTTTCGATATCAAACGATCGCAGAATGATGCACCAAACTTGATAAAGAAGCGACCTGTTTATTGTCTTAAATGCTGTAATTGTTTTAATGACGTTGGTATAACAGGGGGAAAAGTGTGAAAGATGAGCAGGAAAGAAATAAAATAAAATAACAGATTTATGATATCTGATGACACAATATAAAAGAGATGAAATTCGCTGTATTTTTTTCTTTCTTTCTTTTTTGTTGTCTTGATGGTTATTGTGTAGGTAAACATTCATTTGCATATAAACTAGTGCATCTGTAACGCACACAAATGCACACATAAAAACACACACATAAATACACACGCACACACACACAAACACACACACACACAAACACAAACACACACACAAAATAACACACACACACACAAAATAACACACAAACACACATACAGTTCGAGATTTGGAGACGAGGTATCATATCGTATTTTTTTCCTCTTCAATACAATCGATTAGCATAATGTATTCTACCTGCTGTATCTCATGAATACAGATCGTTGTTGAAAGCTGTCCATCGAAATGGAAAGAAATATGAGGAATTAATGAAAACAGACAAGAGACCGATAAAAAGAGGAAAATAAACACAAGACGAGGAAGAAAAGAAAACAGATGTGATCGGGCATCTTTTTACAGCGGTATAGAATTGCAAAAAACGACGGCAGACTTTGCAAACTTCGGGTGTCATCCCAACTTCTTGCAAGCTTTGGGAAACGTGATCGAAGGCATTCTTACATGCATACATGCACATACCCACACACACGCAAATACACACACACACACACACACACACACACACACACACACACACACACACACACACACATATATATATATATATATGTGTGTGTGTGTGTGTAGATATATAGACAGATAGACAGGCAGATAAGTAGACAGACAGATAGATATAGATATCTGTGACAGCATATATACATATCTGTGTATGAAACAAAAATAAAAACAAAAACAAAAATAATAAAGCTAAGAAAGCAAATCAACATCCGCCTTACAGAGCCACCATGAATCAGCCTTAAGCCGCCGCCCCCCCCCCCCCATACCTCACCATACCACGCCGACGCTATGTTGACTCTGATCTAAGAGGAGGCAGAACAGAGAACAGGAGCCATGGACGGAGAGAACAGAATCATCCTGAACGTCGGGGGAATCAGGTGAGATCTTGTTATTGTTGTTGTTGTCATTATTGTTATTGTTATTTTTGTTGTTGTTTTTAGCATTGTTATTGTTATTGTTTTCATTATTTTCATTATTATTATTATCATTATTATTATTGCTATTATTATCATTATTATTATTGTCATTATTATTATTATTACTACTAGTAGTAGTAGTAGTATCATTATATTTATTATTACTATTAATATTATTGTTATTATCATTATTATTATTGTTATAATTTTTATTATTATTATTATTATTATTATTATTATTATTATTATTATTGTTATTATTATCATTATTGTTATTATCATCATTACTATCA